GAAGGGAAGAATAGTGTTTAACAGAATAAAACAGGTTTGAACTCAGTTCCAGTGCTGGGTCTAAGGCCACACAGCAAATGTCCCAGGGTATACCAATTCTAGCTGCCACCTACCAGGTGCCCACTATGGTAGGGTAGAGTCTTGGGGAGTCATCAGGGTGATGCCAGCAGAGCTTATCAGGCCCAAATAGTCTGAGATTTGGCCACATGAAGGAAGAGTTCTGCACTGGTCTGGCATGTAAGGAAAAAATGGCCCCCATTCTAGAGCCACACAGTTCACTCTGTCCAAGGTTCTACCAGGGGAGTAAGCTCAATAGGGCAAGGTTGTGGGGAGTCAGGGAGGTGGAGATAGTGGATCATCTGTGAGTGAGAGGTGCTAGTTGGGCCTGGGGCAAGGTGGGAGGAGCAGCCCTCACCCCAGAGCCACAAAACTCAGTCTGTCCTGTATTCTGCCCAAACCTCGGCAGGGTGGGGCCACCAGGAGTTGAGAGTGTGGGGGCCACCTTTACCTCTGAGGGTAGGACTAGAGTATCTCCTGTGAGGGGGAGGTGTCAGTAAGTTCATCAGAAAGTGGGAGAAATTGCTCCTGACCCAAAGCCATACCACTCAGTCACCGACACCCCTGAGTCTGCCTGGATCTCTAGACCCTGACCCAGGGAGCTGACTCCTCAGCAGGACATAAGCTCTGCAGGGTGGGGGAAATAAGGAGTCCAGATGGTAGGGCTATTGTGTCCCCCTAGGATGATGCCATAGAAAGGGGAGTGCTCCACCCAAGAAAAATGGCATATACAGAGCGGGAGAGGTCTTAGCTGCTATGTCCTGAGCTCTTTCCCCAGAGCCATAAGCACCAGTCTCTCCTTACATGGTTTCTAGTCTGCTCCACCTTCCATCTGCCAGAGCCCATGGTGAATGGTTGCAAACAAGGTTTGGTGCATTGGCTCTTCAAGAGGGTACCTGCAACTCTAGCAGACTCCTATTTCTTCCTAATGGACAAAACCCCTACTGATTTTCACAGCCAAAGGTTATGTGGGCACCTCTTTCTGGCTTTGGTGTCCTGAACTGGAGAGCCTGACATGTAATTGAGACTCCATGCTCCTTAGGGGGAAGCTAAAATAACCCTCTAGATTCTCAGCCATCACCCATGGGAGTGGGGCCAGCACTTTTTACCTCTCCATCCTTCCAATCAGCCTCCATGTGGCTTCTTTTGTGAATTCTTGTTTGTAAGACTTCTATTCAGCTAGACTTAATTTGGACATTCATGTTGATTACTTTATGTTTTAGTTGTAATTCCAGTTTGGTCCTGGGAAGAGGCAAGTATGCATCCATCTAATCTGCTGACATCTTGGATGCTCACTTGGAGGACTATTTATGAGAGTTGTAATCTCAGTCAGCTTTCACTTTGTTTATTTCCTACTGTGTTTGGTAATTTTTGCAAAGTGAACTTAAATTTACCTGATGCCACCTGAGCAAATCCTGAGATGCCTGGGTTAAGGGTACGGTCCTCCATAGCTTTTATGTCCCCGTAGTGCACTACGTTGTGATGAACTGAGACACTTGAAATATAATTTTTTGTTTGACATGCACAGCAAAATTTATTAATGATAATTATAGCTAATAAAAATAATAGCATACATTCAAACTTCAGATCTATGAGAGGACATTCTTGTGGGTATGTGTGCTCAAAGGAGGGTTTTTTTTTTTACCTATAAAGTCAAGGCTTTCTTATAGTCCTTTTGCTGACAGTGCACATTCCTCCCTCCTCCGGCCTTATCCTTTCCCTCCCTTCTGTCCCAAATGCCCCTTTTTCTAAGTTTATAGCACATATAGGGTTCTGGTTTCATGTAAGTCACTCAGTTTCAAATTTCCACCTTTCTGGGAGGCCTGTTCACTTGTTATATGGGTTGAACGTTCCTCGTTCTTCTCTGAAACTGTGGGCTCTTCAAAGTTATATCAAAGGTATTAGGAAACACAGCCCTGGGAGGAGTCTTCTTTACAATGGGCCCCTCTTAGTGCCTGGCAGGTTCCTTTACAATAGAAACCTGAGAGGGCTGCTGAACAGAGAGCATGAGGACTTGAGTACACAGGACCGATGACTTTTGAGAAGTTAAAACACCAATCACAAAGCAGGGTCAAAGAAAAGTGGTCCAGTTCCTGCTCCCCACCAGGAAGAAAGCAAACCTTTTGAGTCATTTGATAAGACTAAGTGTTTCAAAGAGTGAGTGTAAGTTTGAGGGAGGGTAGGAATCAAAGTCATGTCAGGAACTTGAAAAAGGTCATTTGATTAGGCTTTGGCAATATAAACGGATACCCCTGGAAACCCAGGCATTGGGAGAGCCATCATAGACTGGTCTAGTATCTGGTCATTTGTGGTCTCTGCTTCTCTCCTCACTCTCTCAGTGGGTCCTCCTGTGTCCCCAGTCCTGGGTTGCACCTTAGAGACAAGCAGGTGAATCAAACAAAGCTCTGTCCTAGAAAAGTAGGAACACTGAAAAAGTGGTCACAGATGTTCACTCTAGCTGTAGAGAAATAAAGAAGGCTGAGTTTAGGACATGATGCTCAAGGATTCAATTATTCCATTAATATCTATTGAGCTTCGACTCTCTTTCTGGGCACTTTTCTAGGTGGGAATATAGCAGCTGAGGAAGACTTCTGTTCTGTTTTGTTCTAAAGGAATCAGATGGTCAATAATATGTAACCAAATAAAGATTATTTTATATAGAAATAAATTATAAGCTAAGCAGAGAATTCAAAAAGAGAATTATAACTTCACGGTAGAGTGGCTACTTAAAGTTAAACAGTCAGGGAAAAGCCCTTTCCCCAGAGATAATATTTAAGAAATCTGAATGACAACAAACAATTCTGCAAAGATAGAGAGAAGTGTCTTAGGCTGGAACAGCTAATGTAAATGCCACATTCAGCTTTGAATATAAGTTACCTACAAATACTTCCCCTTGTGCATAGCCCTCCAACATGCCCAAGGAAGACATTTGATAAATGTTCTCAGCGAGAAGGTTGGAATGAGGTGAATCAGTGTTGTCAGTAAACTAAACACACATGGCAGGGTGAAGTAGTTGGAACAACAGATACAGAGGTGTGTGCCTGTGTGTGTGCGTGCATACCCACACGAGCAAACACATAAACATGTGTTTGTTTGGTAGAATGTCTATGCATGTCTCTTATATAAAAAATATCTGTAGGGAAATAACCTGAAAATCTGTCATTCTAGAGGATTGGTTGCTGAGCTATAGAGATGGATGCATGGGAGAGGTCAGTAGAAGGAAAAGTTTAGGGTTTAAAGAAGAGAGCTGCCCAGTGCTAGGTTGGAAAGCCTACCAGCAGCCCTGAAGAACTACCCGGCATACAGCAGTTCTAAGGACTGTTGTTTATTAACCTGGGTTGAAGGTCAGTCCATTGTCCCTGGTCACCAGGTTAATTGGGCCTGACATTGTTGAGGCATCTGCCAGAGGCCTGGGCTAGAGGACATCTTCCCTACCACAGCCTTCATGCTCTGAGGAGTCCCTAGTGAGTTATTTCTGGAGCCAGAGGAGAAGTCCAGGGTGAAAAGTCTGGCCACTTGACTTGTTCCTGGTGAGATCAAAGCAGGGGCTTTGGTGGGATTTTCAGGCCCACTCAGGGCCTCTGTCTCTCTCTCTGACCTGTGGCATTTATGCTCTTTTTAGATCCACTTACAATCTGAAAACTGAAAGACGGTCTTCTCAGTCAAAGGAAAAGATGAAAGTGGAGTGTGTTTAAGCCTGACTTTGGCCTCCAGTGTAATCAAAGAAGGGAGAGGAAAGATAGAAATAGGAAAGGTAGAGAACGATGTGATAAAGTTTCCTTCTAACTCACTACTTCTCACTGAGTCCTGGAGGAAAGGAATGGATAAGGATGCTGACAGGGTAGAGATGGGCACATGAGTAGTTACCAGCAACATTAGGATTAGCAGCCAGAGAGAAGCAGAGGGAGAGGCCCATGGAGGCTGAACTGCCAAGGCTTCCTGGAAGAGGGGCCAGACTGAGCAAATGTTGGGGAGAACCTAGCAGCTGGATGGGGGTACAGAGCTAGGGAGGCCTCTGGAAAACATGCAGAGAATCCTGGCAGGAGAAAAAGCAGGAGCTGAAATCCTGCCAGGCCCAGTGTGTACAAAAATTCTAGGAGCTTGGGCTCTGCTTGGCAGAAAAGAAAAAAAAAAAAAAAAAGAAGAAGTTTGAACATTGGAAAATTTCAAACCAAGGGAAAAAAGAAAAATTAAGTCTATGTCGCAAGATTCAATGATCAAAGAAGGTTCCTTTTGAGGGTCAGAGCCCTGCCTCAGGACACTATGGGACCTACGCACCCAGAAAGGGCCTGTCACAAAATAGAGACTTTAGATAAAATGATTGACAGGCTCTGGGGAAACAGCTGTGGTTCTGAGGGTAGGCGGAGCCCTGAAGTGTAAAATAGGGATTTTATGTGAAATGGGAGAATGGATGTCATAAAACAGGTCCACCAAGAAATGGGTGTTGTGGGACATCACGTCACCTGCTATAGTTTGAGCCTAGTTTTACGGCCCATAGGAAAGGGAATAAGAGGGAAACTGAGGCTCACTTGGTCCTCAAAAAATGGAATTGAGAATGGATCCAAAGCTCACACAGGCAATCAGCTTGCCCTTGTGTAGGCCACCAGGAACAGGGCTAGTTTGTCATGTCCAGACCCCATGGGCTCTCATGATGGGGACTGCCTAACCTTCTAACATTCTATCCACAGGGGCACTTGAAGCCCAGGGAGAGCAGGCTCCCGTTACAGTCCTCTTGCATCTACCTTTGCTTTAGCACTGATCTAATTCTAACATGCTTTACTTGTCTGTCTCCTTGGTTGGCTGGAAGTGACTCAGAGCCATGGGTTGTGAATTCCCTCTGTGTGTGCTGTCTCGAGCACAGGGTCCAACATACCAGTGGGGTAGCGAATGTTGACTAAACAAGATAAGATGAAACTATTTCCCTTGACTTACTCCACTACCAGGTAAGGACCATGTTCCAGTTTTTATCACTTCCTATCCTTCTGTGTGTGGTGACAGTGTCCTGCTCAGAAATAAAATCCTGTGAAGATGCCCAGAAGACCTGTTCAGTGATTACCTGTGGCATCCCAGTCACCAATGGCACGCCAGGCAGAGATGGACGAGATGGACCCAAGGGAGAGAAAGGAGAACCAGGTACAGGAGGCTGGTCTGACTTCCTAAATTTCTACTCCCAAGAGAAGACTGTTCCCTATAAGGGATCTAACACAGAGCCAGGAGCAGGCTCACCTTTCATTATGGCGTGTGATGAATAACTCAGAATAATTCCTGTGCAATGCCATTCTTTCTAAAACAAAGATGCTTCTGTGGTTCTCCTGGACCCCACATTTCCCCACGGGAACTGATGATGTGTGGTTGTTCCTAACGAGGGGGTGTCCTGCCTGTCTGAGTAGCTGACCCTGGGATGCAGAAGAATCTTTTGTTTTCAGGTCACTGCTATTTTGCTGGTGGTTTCTGCACTCTCTGTGAATCTAGTACAGAGCGTTTGATGGAAGAGAATGAACGACAGCCACTGGGTCATTTTCCCTTTGTCTTCCAACAGGGCAAGGGCCCAGAGGTTTGCAGGGCCCTCCAGGGAAAATGGGGCCTCCAGGAATTCCAGGAGCTCCTGGGTTAACAGGACTGAAGGGCCAAAAAGGAGATCTTGGAGGTAGTTCAGGTAGGGAGCTCATCCCAGCACGGGGTGGTCTGCGGGGACCCAGGGCCCTGGGAACTCGAGAGCCAGGTGGGAGGAGGCCCTTCCCCTGCTGCCCCGCTCCCCCGCCGACCACCCCCCCCTCCCCCCGCCGCCTCCCACCGCGCATGCTCACCTCTGCTTCTTGACCAAGCACTCTCGTTCCTTCCAGTCTTACTTGGAGCCTGGAGGGATTCCCATGGGTGCCCGAGTACAGACTTCCCACCCCTCTCGGCCACCCCCTCAGCAAGCCATTGCAGGATTGGCGTTCCTGCTCTTCTTCAGCTGGAGCAGAGCAGTGTGAGGCTCCAGGATGCGAGGAAGGAAATGGGTCCCCTCAGGCGTTGGGTTTAAGTCTGTTGCCATAAGAGAGGCATGAAAATGGTGTGCTTCATAAGAGCCCTGGTTCAATAAAGTAATAAATAAAACAATTAAATAAAGTAACTGATTCAGAATGAAATTAAATAATTAGTAACAACAAAAGAAAAATGATGACGACATATTAATATTTGTCCACAGGCCTATCACGATAATAAAAATATTAAAGAGTTTGCCTAGAAAAACAAATAAAAGAGAATGATGAAAAAAAAATTCAAAAAGAAGAATGAGTTAGGTTGTTTTTTTAATTGTCATCCAAGAATATGTTCATTGGTTTTAGAGAGAGAAGAGAAGATAGAAAGGGAGAGAAAGAGAAACATCAATATGAGAGAGAAACATCAATCTGATGCCTCCTGAAAGTGTCCCAAACCGAGACCAAACCCACAACCTAGGTATGTGCCCTGAATGTGAATCAAACACACAACCTTTTGGTGTAGGGGACAATGCTCCAACCAGTTGAGCCACCTGGTCAGGGAAGGACTTTCTTGATAAATAATTATAGTATGACAATATTTAAGGAGTATGTGAAGAAAAGGAACCAGAGCTATTGTTCAGAAGTTATTATTAGTTTCATAGTTATAATTTATAAGTGTTATGAATTATGTCTGCAAAGGCAGGAATACCATTTTTATTTTCCCCCTTTCCTTCTTTTTTTTATTTTTCAGGAATAAGCATACTTCTTAATAAGATTTTTGGTCCCCAAAATACTCTTCTCTGCAATTTAGAGTTTTTTTTCTCAATAAATGCCCTTCTCCCTATTGTTTTCCAGTTGCTGAGACTAAGCTGGCTAACTTAGAGAGAGAGATAAGGAGCCTAAAGTCCAAGCTGGACCACACCCAAAAACGTAAGCCTTCTTTCTGCCTCTAGTGTGTTCCTAACTCACCTTTTTCTTCAGACTGCTCTAGGACTTCAGGAGGGTGGAAAAGAATCAACATTTCTGGATACTAATTATATATCAGGGCCTGTGCTATGGTGGCATTTTCTCCTAATATGGTTTCGTTTAATCCTCTCACCAGAACTATTTGTGGATATAATACCTATTTTATTTACAGGTGTGAGAAAATAGGTCCAGGTATTATAGATAATTCATCCAATAGCACGCAGTTTAGAGGCAACAAAGGAAAGGTTGCATGGAGGTTGGCTACCTTGAGAATCTTTGCTCCTTCCTCAGCATCCACTGTACTCAGACAGCTCTCCATGCCTCTTTCTTATCCTGGCGTCTAAGCCTGACACTGGGGCCCATGCATGTTTTCCTATGCCCTTTTGTACTGGCACAGTTTGTAACATAGGATATGCCAGGAGAGACCAGGTTTTCTGCTAGGACCTTGCCCCACCACTGAGGAGCTCTTCCTTACTAGGACCTGGCCTCAGGTGGTCAGGAGGCTGAGCATAGGCTGATTTCCAGAGTCCTCAGTTGCCAGACAAGGGTCTTTTTGCATACTGTCTGGGGCTGGGCTCCAAGCCAAGTCAACTCCACCTACCCTTTGCGATTTCAGTGCAAACCTTCTCCTTGGGCAAAAGATCTGGAAAGAAGCTCTATGTGACCAATGGTGAAAAGATGCCTTTTTCCAAGGTGAAGGCTCTGTGCACGGAGCTCCAGGCCACAGTGGCCACCCCCAAGAATGCTGAAGAGAATGAAGCCATCCAGGGTGTAGCCAAGGACAATGCCTTCCTGGGCATCACTGATGAAGTGACCGAAGGCCAGTTTGTGTATGTGACAGGAGGGAGACTGACCTTCAGCAACTGGAAGAAGGGTGAGCCTAATGACTTTGGCTCAGGGGAGGATTGTGTGATCCTTAAAGATGACGGAGAGTGGAATGACATCTCCTGCTCTTCCTCCTACCTGGCTGTCTGTGAATTCCCAGCCTGAAGAGTCAAGTTCCTCAGCCCCTCCTTGGCTCTCTGTGGATCTCTCTGCTGCTCTAAAAGAGAATTCACTGATGGTTTTCTCATGCTGTGTTGACTCATTCCTTCGTGGGGATGGGAGGAAAATGAAGGGAGGTATTTGATTGTGGGATGAGGAAGTAAAGAGAGGCTCAAAGTAGGACATGAGGGTGTCTGGCCTACTTCGTGGCAAAGGACACCCTCTGTCCTGCCTAAGAGCACAGCTTCGGGTCACAGTCAATCAAGAGAAGGGCCCAGACTAATCCTCTCCTTTTCAGTAAGAACACTGCAGCGCCTCAGAGGAGCCACTGCAGGGCCACATCGGTGTCAGAGTCAGCAGCAGATCTCAGCCCGCAAGAGATCCAATTCCTTTTTGTGCAAGTGCTGCCACAACTTGATGCCAAACTCCTGCCCTTGGTTCCTTCCCATGGCTGCACCAGAAAACCCTTCATCACCACAATGGAACACCTGGTGGTATGCAATTGCAATCTTAGAACGTCCAAACCTGTAGAGAATTTGTATAAAAGTTTATTTGAATCAAACAAAGGATAACTCCTGAAAGCAAGACAAAAGACTGAGAAAATGCTTCTCAGAATAACAGTTTGCAGCTTCTTTTATGTATTTGGAATTAAGGAGAGAACATAAGGAAGATTACATGAAGGTGGATGAAAGCAAGGAGGGGAATGGACTCCAAGGTAGTTAACAAGATCATGTGTCCTCTTGAGGGTGGTTTCTCTGAGGGGTCTGCTGGCAGGCATTTCGAAGGCGTGTTAACCAAGATGCCCAGAAACATGGACACGGCTTGCCTAAGACAAAGATAAGCATTTTACTAAATAAGTTAGATGCCTTCAGTGTGACTACTCACCATGACCTTCCCTCTTAGGAATACATGATCACATCACCCTGTGCATTTATTCTCCATAGAACATCTTTTCTTCCACACCAATACAGGTGACCATGATTAGTCCTAGAAATATTCTCATCCTGCCCTAGTAGCTGTGGCCTCCTTGTAGTTACTAGGGTGGTCTTGGGGAAAAAGGACAGGCTTCCCTTCCTGCATATTTCAGGAAACTGATTTGATATTGTGGCGCATGCAGCATCATCACTGGGGAAGGCCAGTTGTCAGGCAGAATCCCGAATACTCTCTTCACAGCGTATGGTCGGTCTCAGGGCACTGGTGGCCTCAGGCTCTCTGTATTCAGCATCCCCCTCCTTCTGTGAGGTCTTCATCCCGTTATAGGTCAATGGGTCCATTATTAGTAAAGACCAAAGGAAAAACTCCCCAACAGTGAGTTTCACACCCTGTGGGTCATCCAGCCAGCAAGTCACACCTCCCTCTGAGCACTATTCTGACACTGTCGGCCCACACTCCTGCTCGTGACCGTGAATGATTTTTAGGAATCTCTGGGTCGGTGGGCTGAGATTCTGCAGAGCCCAAGTTGTAAACTGGGGAGAGAGTGAGTCACAGCTCCAGTTCTATGCCATTCACAAAATGAGATTTGGAAAATGGGCCCTTCGTGAAATATTTGTCTTAAAATTACTTTTCCACTTTATTTTTCTTTGTATCTGATCTACCAGAGTGAGCGCCTCATACTTACTAAGTGCTTCATGAGTATTTGTCGAATGGGTACACCAAAAAAATTCCCAAATGGCTGAGTGCATAGGATACTGAGGAGAGTTGCAGGGAGAGGTCTTTCCCAGGTGCACTCCATCTGCAGGACTCTGGGGGCTGGGCTGAGAGCTGGACTGTGAAATGCTGCAGGCGTTGGGGCTGTAGGGTGAGAGTGACAGGACCCGTGTCCTTGGCCTGTAGCGTACCTACCCTGTCACATCACTGAGTTTTTAACCCCACAGGCCTCTTGTTTAAGCACTGCACTTGGGGAAAAGGAAAAAAAAAGTTTTGTGATGCAGAGCAGAACAGCTCACTATTTTCAATTAACATCCAGAATGCTTACCAAAGGAGTGGGAAACTGCTTAGTTTAGAGGCGCATAGCAAACCATACATTAAGGCACAAAGTAAAAGGAAAGACCAGAAACTTATAAGAAGAAAAGGATATACACGTAAGATGACTCAGAAAAAAAAAAATTACTGCAACCAAGCATAAAAGTTACACCTAAATTTTCTCATAGCCACAAAAGCAATGAGAACACAGATAGGTAACCCATATAAAGTTATTTCCATTTTATGTAAAGGGGAGCGGTGATCATGATTTACCCTGAAGGGAATGTCTTCTTTTTTATACTGTGCATAAAGTACAATATCTTTAGCCTATAAACCTGTAAATACACAGTCATGTACTTCACATGGATGTTTCCCAGTATACAATGATTGCACCCTCAGTCAGGGGAAACTCAGTAAAAATTTTCAGGACATGCTCTGATTCTTCCAGTCCCCTTTCAGTCTTCTCCTTCACCTGTTCTTATAGTTCTATCACCAATTACCTTTTTACAGCTTCTTTCTCTAAAGTTAGCCTCTTGCCACTGTTCTCCCCTGATATAGAATTGAGGTAACCATCTCCCTATATTCACTTCCCAATTCTTAACAACAAGCAGTGGAACCCATGCAAGTTAGCTGAAGGGAATGTGACATTAATCTAAAGATACAGGATTCTCATGAGAGTCCAAATATAGCACCTGGAGTTCATCCAGGCTTCCCAAAACCAGGAACAAGAAGGAAATTATAGACTCATGGTGACTCTCTGGACAGTCTCTCTCCTTTTCTCAAGGGCTGAAGGCAGGCAGTTCCCTTCACTAAGGGACATCTGATGATTACATCTCTCGCACAGGGGAACTAATGAAGGTAGGGGTACCATAAAAAGACCTTTGGGGTCTCAAGTGGCACATTTCCATGGGACTCCAGGAATAGGGATGACTGTGAGTGATTTTTGAACACTGTTTGCCTTTTCGTTTCTCAGCTGGCCTCTGGACCAAGAAACTGGCAGGCATTCTGAGATTCTTTCTTTCTTTGCTGCCTTTTCAAAAGAGTGAGGATTAAAGGCCGTGTCTCAGAGCATTCCCGGAAAGAAGGCTGGTGCTATGACCTTGCTGGAGCCTGGGCTGTCCCTCCAGCGTTATGCTCAAGGCAGAACAAGGCCTGCATCTCTGTGTGTGATGCTGAAGGAAAGGCAGTTAGGGTGGTGCAAAGTTCAGGTTTGGAAGCACCTCCCCAACTAATACATTGAGAGGCATGTTGGCTTCCTGGGCCTCAGTCTCCTATCTCCATTGGTCTATCAAGGCTTCTCCCTTCTAATGCTGGATGAATCAATGATCACACATAGTTTCAGTTTTGTGCAACCCATTTCAGGACCAAAAGCTACAGGATATGAGAACTGGTGTCAGTATCAGTTCGGTGTCAATTTTGTCCAAAGTAATTGTACCTGAACACTTAATCGCCTGTTTCTCAAGTCCATGAAAGCCAGCCTGACTAAGTTAGAATGGCCAATTGACGTTGCTCTCCAAATGGGAGCTTTGAGTTTAAATGACATGTATAAGTCAACGGTCTCCTATAAGATTAAAGACACAGGATTTGCTCTATGAGAAAAGCATGTCTAGAACAGTCTACTCTTAGTTTCAATCTGCTTTTCATTATGTAAAAACTATCAATTTTGAAAACTTTCAAGCTTAATTAGTACCAAGCAGGATTTTTGAAACCTCTTTTCAGCAGGGGATATAATCCTTAAAGTCAAACTGTTCTTATTATGTACTGAATAAATGTGACTTCAGATGTAATAAAACTATTATTTTATTTTTTGTAAAGAGCACGGGAGTTTCTTTTTATAAAAAAGTGAAAAAGGGTGAAAATAGTTACCAAAGCTTGCAGCATTAAAGGCCAAGGCTTCATCCTGGGTTCTGGATCTTGGAATTGCAGCATCTCACTCCTGCACAATAATCTATCTTTAGAATCCCACAGCTCTGTTGTTCTCCTGTTTAGCTGTGCCCATGCCAGGGGAAGGAAAATTGAGGCACCAGCTAAAGGCCTAGCATTCACATTTCTCAAACCTCCTTTCTGCCCTGCACCAACCTGCTTCCTTTCTCTGCGACTGCCAGAGACCCATCAGCAGGAGGGGTCACAGTCAGACCTGGACCTTGTATATTTACATGGCAGAGGGCCTCTGACCTGAGGGCTGTTTGCTCACAGTTGTGTAATTGATCTGTGCTTTAGATCCCGCAAGGACTCAGGGATTTTTTTTCTCGTTAGCCAGGAAGAGACCAAATGTCATCAAGGGGTCTGGCCTGGACATGTCGGGAAGTGGACTTTGTAAAGTGATTTTTGTCTTAATAACCTGAGTGGCTGATGGAGAGCTCAGAAGAGAGGAGGAGCTCAGGGCAGAGTCCATGTGGGAAGGAGTGCTCCCACACCTGTTTGCAGCCTGAGTACAGAGGAGAGTATCCCAAACATGGACTGGTGGCTTTTCCAGGAAAATACAGGTGTTGCACTCAAAAGCAGCAGGAAGCAGATAGCCATTTGTTAGCTAAGCAAACACCTTGGGTTAAAGTAGTCGCTGCCAACACAAGGTCCGGCCTGCTGTGTCCTGGCAAGCAGATGCTTGTGCCACCCCCAGGGGCTCTTCAGGGGAGTGACCAGCAGAAGTGCCCGGAAGGCTTACAAAATCAAAGGATCCAGCTGGTTCCACTCTAGACCTAGAGCATCAAATCTCAGAAATCTTCATCTGTGAGACCCCAAGGTGATCCAAAGATGTTTGGCCAGCTTTGGAAACAGCTGCTCAGGAAAATACCATCACCTAGCCACTCTCTGCCTGCCTCTTCCCTTCCCAAGGAGGAACTGGAGCCAGCAGGCCAGGGCTTCTGTGTCCTTGTAGCCCCCACATGAGGGAAGAGGGTCCTGCTTAGCTCTGTAGTGTCAGACCCCGAGTCATCTCCTTCAACTGGTCACTGCCCCACTAGTGCAATAAAGAGCAAATGCTGACCCCAATCCTTCCCTGTGCATTGCCAGGGTCTCACTGCCTCCTGACTTCAGGTCTGGGTCTGGGCCTGGAACAGCTCTGGGGTGTGTTAGAGAAGGTGGGGCACTGGGCACGAGAAACCTGAGTGGGGAATTGTGTGTATA